TCTCGTGCCTGGGCTTACAGCACGCTGAAGCAGCGCTCATGGATGAGTCATGTTCTCAGTGCGGGAACATGACCATCGCGACGTTGCGGTCTAGATACCTCCTCATTAAACGGGGGGGTATCCCCCTTGCCATGCCCCGCTCTAGCTCTTCCCCGTCGAGTACGTCTCCGCGGGCCTCTCATTCCTCAAGCATGTCGCACCACCTGGGGTTTCCGGACGAGTGTGCTGGGTCCTCGGACAGGGCGGGGTCCAGCATCTTGTGCGGGACACAGGCAGAGGATAGGATGTCGATCGCTGCATCGGAGGGCGAGCTAGGCTCTGGAGATGAGGATTCGGCTGCGCTGCCACCGTCAGGTAGAGTGGCGTTGCCCGAGTCAGATCCAGAGCTGACCGCTAGGCTGCCGAGAGTGTCGGGCTGCACTGGAGGCCTCCTCCTTCTCCCGAACGCTCGAGGCTGGATGATTGGTTCCTGGGGGCGCAGGCCGGGCGTCGGCAGCCGCCTCCGGTTCCATTCTTCCCGGAAGTGCATGAGGAGGTTACTAAGTCTTGGAAGGCACCTTTTTCTGCCCGAAACAGACTTGGTGCCTCCTCCGTCCTCACCACCCTTGACGGTGGGGCGGCCCAAGGGTATGTGGACATCCCTCCGGTTGAGCGCGCTATTGCCATGCAGCTCTGCCCGCAAAGCGCCGCCGCCTGGAGAGGTAGTCCACGCCTTCCGTCCAGGGCCTGTAAGTTCTCATCCGCTCTGACGGCTAAGGCTTACAGTGCTGCTGGACGCTTCCGCCCTGCACGTCATTGCCCTCCTGCAAGTCCACCAGGCCAAGGCGTTGAAGCAGTTGCACGAGGGTGGTGTTGACCCAGGTGTGCTGCAGGAACTGTGCACGGCGACGGACCTCGCACTTAGGGCGATGAAAGTCATCCCTGGGTCAGACGATGTCCACATTGGTGGTCCAGGAGCGCCACCTATGGCTGACCTTGGCGAATATGAGGGAGGCCGACAAGCATCGCTTCCTGGACTCCCCGATCTCCCAGGCCGGCCTATTCGGCGAAGCGGTGGAGGGCTTTGCCCAACAGTTCTCCGCCGCACAGAAGCAGACGGAGGCGTTTCGACACATCCTGCCCCGGCGGTCTGCTGCTGTCTGCACCCCACCGCCGGCTGCAGCCCCTCTGTCTGCTCGTCGCCGAGGGCGCCCTCCTGCGGCCTCCACCTCCGCTCCGGCGCGGCCACAACAGCAGCCTTCACAACGGCCGCAGCGTGGAGCTGGCCGCAGGAAACCGGCGCACGCACCGGCACGGCCACAACAGCAGCCTTCACAACGGCCGCAGCATGGAGCTGGCAGCAGGAAACCGGCGCAGACGGTAACTCTCCCCGGTGCAGAGGATTCTCTTTTCTCGGCATGGAGCTGGACTCAGTCAACCTCTCAGCATGTCTCTCAGTAGAGCATGCGCAGTCGATGCTGAACTGCCTGGGGTCCTGGTGATCCCACATGTGTATTCTTCCACGGTACGGCTCCCCTCACGGTAAGCCTGTGTCTTTCCCTGGCAGTCGTTCGCTGCCATCTCTGCTGCGTAGTTATCTCACCCCAGGGGGGTTGAGTCTACCGCAGGGACTTCCATATGTAGCACTGCCCTGGGCCAGTCCATATGTGTAATTCCACATGATACCTCCTATGCGCAGGATGTGGCTTCCGTAGCGTTCCCAACTGGGTATGCTTTCCCAGTGTTATCCAATGTACCACTGTATGGAACAGCAGTGCGGACACCTCTGCCTAGCCGCTGTCCTATCTTCCGCCCCAGCTGGTGTGGGGGGACTTGCCGGCTTCCGCAGGGCACTGGAGGGGGTCAGCAATAGTGGCGTTTTCCATACGGATCCCAATTCGTCAGTCACGACTGACGTAACGTAGAACGTGACTGACTGAAAGGGAACGTCTCGGTTACTTGTGTAACCCTCATTCCCTGAAGGAGGGAACGGATACGTTACGTTCCGTCGCAGCAGTTGCTGCGCTCTCCTTTTATACCCGCGCTGCGGGGCGGGGTGCGCGTGGCGAAACACGCACGCCAACTGTCATTGGCTTGTTTAGTTAACACTCGAAGGTGATTGGGCTCTCGGGCGAGATCCCAATTCGTCAGTCACGACTGACGTAACGTCTCCGTTCCCTCCTTCAGGGAACGAGGGTTACACAAGTAACCGAGACGTTTCATTAACTTAACTTTAAATTAATATAGGATGAAAAGATAAGATTTTATGCTGATGTGAACACTCGAATGTGATTGGGCTCTCGGGCGAGATCCCAATTCGTCAGTCACGACTGACATAACGTCTCCGTTCCCTCCTTCAGGGAATGAGGGTTACACAAGTAACCGAGACGTTCTGTGCCTTCATTACTGTGCTATACATTTAAAATACATTTCTTTTAATTTTATAGTATATATTTATTAGGGGTGGAACGGTTTGAGGAAAAAAATTTAACTGTATGGTTCTCCACACACGGTTCGGCATGCATTAGGACCACGGTTCAACTTAAATCTGACAACACATCTGTAATATGGTTTCTTATAAATAACATGTAAAACAAACAGGGTTCGGCTGAGGTATGTTTCTGTTGATGGATGCGCATTCTGGCTTCCCAATACATTACAACAACAGTGATGAAAAAATAAAAGTGGACAAACCATTCACTCTTGTTCAATGCTAGTGCTGTATGCTGGAATATGAGCAGTCATTTATTCCGTCATCACCCGGGTGCTGATAGCGCGCGCACACAGGTGAGACCTGAACAGCACACGTTGATATCTGTGTTTAAACTAAACTCATGTAAGCTTTGCCAGTTTAAACATTTAAGAGCCTGAGGAC